TGCTATCCCAACTCCCCAGGCATCTTGAACCTTCTCCAATTCCATAAACAAATATCGACCTAGAACCTACTGTGCGCACATGATCTCTTGAGGTCGTGACGATACAGCACTGCTGAAGATGATGACCAGGAGTCCTCCCCCCACCCCGACCCCCGCCCGCAGAGCTGACCAGAGAGACAGGGAGACAGAAAATAAACACGTCAATCCACAAGTGTGCAGGGAGTTGTCGACAATAATAAGCGCTGCAGCGGGCAGGCAAAGAAGGGGCCTCCGGGGAGAATAACTGTAGATGGGGTGGTCAGGAAGGGCTTCTCAGAGGAGGTGACGTCGGAGCTGAGACCTAAAGTATGGTAATGAGCCAGCTGTGCAAAGAGCGGAAGGAAGAGTGTTCTGGGCAGAGCGAACAGCTTGGCCAAAGGGCTCAGGGGGGAAACAGTTTGGCATCTGTCAGCAATTAAGAGGAGGCCAAAGTGGCTAGAGGTGAGTGGGGCAGGGGCCAGTCCCTGAGGCTGTGTGGGCCTCCTTGGCCCTCCCTCCCCTGGGCTCCTGGCCCCATCTCCCTGGGCCTGCCCTAGAGAGAGGCTCCAGGTACTGGGGGGCAGGGCTGGGTGAATAACAAGGTTACACGTGCTTCTTCTTTCCCCTTTTCTCCAGGAGGAGCATAAAGAGCTCTTTCTTTTCTGCTTATTAATAGCTCTGATTAAATTATCTCTGAAAAACCTACGTGGTGTGCACCAATGGGGGCTCGGCTCCCTCCAGGCTCTGGCCTAGATTATGGCAACAAGGGCAGGTGAGGCAGGTGGGGGCTGGGGAGGGAGGCTGGGGCAGGCCTGCTCCCCCCACCAGGACAAAGACTCAGTCTCTGCCTCCCCACCCCCCTCCCCAGCCCAGCTCAGACTCTGACCACCTCTACTCTTGGGACATTCACAGCCCCCTCACTTGGGACACTAGGCCTTTGCGTTGGCGATTCCCTCTGCCAAGACCATTCTTCCCCTCACCCCTCCCCTTGGCTACCTTCTGTCATTTCTCACACGGCCACTGATCAGCCTTTCCACCACTACCAGCCCACCAGCTAGGTCAGGTGCCTGGCTCTGTGCTTTTCCCTTCCCTGTTACCATTTTAATTACTATGTGTCTTGGTGTGGACCTCCTTGGGTTGAATTTGTTGGGTGATCTCTTTCCCTCCCCAGATTTGGGATGTTTTCAGCTAGCTGATAACTGCTAGTTGTCTTATCTGTCCCCCCATGAAACTTGAGCCCCACAAGGTCAAGGACTGTGTTTGGATCACTGCTGCATCCCTAGTGGCTGGCACAAAGCAGGTACTTAGGAAATGTTGAATGAATGAATGAATGAATGAATGAGCAGATTTAAAGAGGGAACAAGCATGACTAGCCTTACATACATGGGAGGGTGGGAGCAAAAGTTTCAGGCTCCAGACCCCTTGAGCAGTGCCTATGTGACAATTAACCCCATTTCACAGATGGGGAAAACCAAGGCACAGAGCAGATGAGTCACATGGCTAATAACCTGAAGAATCAGGATTCAAACCCAGTCGGTCTGATTCCACTCCTCCTCCTCTCCCTGCTTTTCCACTACAAAGAAAACCTGGGCCATATTTATTCATTGATTCAGAGATTAATTCAAAAAAACTTAATATTGAGTGCTGACTGTATACCAGGCTTGTGCTAGGGCTAACACAGTTCAAATGCAGCCCCTGCCCTCTCCGAGTCCTCAGGCTGGTGGGGAAGACTGTCCAATAAGTGGGCCCTTATAAAACAGACCAGGGACATCTATGAAGGGGGAAGCGCTCCAGCCTGGAGGGCAGTAGTCAGGGAAGGCTTCCCAGAGGAGGTGGCACCCTAGCTAAAATCTGTAGGAGGAGCAAGAGTTAACTACCTGGAGGGAGGATATTCTAGTTGATACGGACAGAATGGGTAAAGAACTGGAAGTCAGAGAGACACCTGGGAGGATGTGCAGGCATTTCAGCAAGGCTGAAATATAGGAGATATACAGGGACAGTGAGGACTGAGTTTCTCTGTCCCCCAACCCCCTCAGGGCCTCTTGAACCCCTGGCTGGAGCCAGCATTCAAGCGCTGGCCCGCCTGGTGGTTCTGCGGACCGTGGCAAATCTATCTTGACACTGTTTCCATTCACATAATGCAGAGTTATTGCACATGACCATAGCAAGGGGAGGCTGGATCAAGGCTGGGAACTGGGGGGCCGGGGGGGCATGGACAGGAGGGCCTGACCTCAGGGAGGTGGGCACTGTGAGTGTGAGTGTGGGAGAGTATAAGTGAAGGCTTGCGGCGGATCATCTATGAAGATGTTCACCTTCCTGGACGGGTATGAGAGGAAGACTGAGCTCTCTACCTCTATAGCTGTCTTCCAACCCGCTGCTGCCTGAAATCCCATTAGCTCATCATGAGCTCGCAGGCCTTCAGAGATGGAGGGGCCTTTTGAGACCTTCTAAACCCCTGGCTGTACATTGGAACCACAGTGGGACCTTTGGAAGCTACCAGGTCAGGGGAGGGGTGCCAGCTCACGAGAGCCTGATTGGTACGGCTGGGTCATAAGGCCCACCCTCCATTTTATAACAGAGAAAACTGAGGTCCAAAGAGGAGAGGAAACCTGCCCTCAAGGCCACACCCAGTCAATTAGTGGCCGGCACAGGGTGCAATAAATCAAGATCAGGGGCTCTGGCATTTGGGCCCTGGTTCTGTCATTGTGTGACCTTGTGCGAATCACATGGCCTTCCTCGGCTGTAAGATGTGGACAGTAATCGAATAGACCTCCCATGGGGTGCTGTGAAGGTAAAAGGAGATAGAAGTATGTGATATAAACAGCACCGAGCATGTGCCCGGAACGTAGTAGGTGTCAAGTCATGGTAACTGACGATGGAAAAAATCCCAAACTTCGGAAAATAGATGGTGTGGCCACACAGCCTTCTTCTCTACTTCCTGCCCTCTCTTTCTTCCCAGGGTTTTGGTGGTCGCCGTCCCTCTCCCTGCACCTGGCTTGAGCCCTGCACCATATTCTCCCCACCTGTCCACACCCTGGGTCCACCCAGTGCATTGCCCGGGCGACCCGCCCTGACGTCACTAGCATCTCTGGCTGCTGGCCCCTGGAGCAGAGCGAGAGGAAACAGCTGGGGGTTGGATCAAGTTCCCAGGTAAATCCCCACCCCCACCCCAACTCCAAGAGGGTTGGGTGGGACAGCCCGGGAGAACTAGAGCAGGGCACTGAAGCCGGGGGCTGCTGGGAATGGCACTCGTGGCAGCTGCTCCAGGGCCTGAAACAGGGCCTGCTCCTGCCCTAGATAAGACGATGGGTGGCCTACTTGGTCGGCCCTGGAGCTCCCCCGCGGGCGCCTCTCCCAGGCTCTGGGTAGGGGTGGGTTGGCTCCTAAAAGTAGGCTAGCCAACCCCCCCCTCACCCGCCCCTATAAGCAGCCCATCTCACTGGGTACACTCACCAGGGTCTTCAAAGCCTTCCAAGTCTGGATGACTACAGGTGGCATTTATTAAGCGCTTAGTGTGTTCTGAATCCTTTCCAGCAACTTTTTGTCCACCCAACAACCCCCTCGGATAGGAATTATGATACACAGACAGGAAACTGAGGCACAGAGCCATGAAGGTAAATGTCCAAAGCCAACAGCCAACGAGGACAAGGATGGAATCCCACCCAAGTTCCATGGGATTCCACGGGGTCACACAGACATAGCCTGAGAGTGGTCAGAGGAGTTCTGGCTGCGGCTTTGCATTTCTGTAGGGATCCCGAAGTCTTTCCTGCAAAGCTGGCTCCCCAACTTGCTGTGGGATGGACACATGGCAACTGAGGGAACTGTCCCTCCCAGGACTCAATTTCTCCAGCTGTAAAATGGGTCTGCTAAGGAGGCCACCCATGGGCTATCAGAGAGACCTACTGAGAACCTATGAAGTTACTTAGAAAGTAAAAGGCAAGGTGCAGTACAGTTTGATGGATTCAAAATTTGGGCACCAGGTGATACTGTGCCTCAGTTTCTCCGTTTGTTAAGTGGAGGAGAATACCAGGACCTGCCTCCCATATATATGGTGTGGATACCATGCGGTGGACTTTGTAAAAAGCTCAGCACAGTGCCTGGGTATATAGTTAGTGGTCCACAGATCTCAAATGTGATCGCAAAAATCATTCACTTCCAAAAATATGCCTTGGGGCAAAACACTCCGGACAGAGTGTCACTTCATATCTCTTAACCTCAATTTCCTCTATAAGCTGGCAATATAATAATAGTACCTACCATATCGGTTTTCTCATCTGTAAAATAGGGGTGATAATACCTACCTTACAGGGTTGTTGTGAGCATTAGGCAGAGTACTTCATTACGTGTTAGCTTGCTTTTATTTTTAACAAATTCCTCATAGGGTTCTTTTCAAGATTAAATGAAACAATGCAGCTAATGCTCTTAGCATAGTGCCTTGCCCCAGATACGTGTTCAATAAAGGATACTGGTTTTGCCACCTCTGGGTCCCGACAAGGGACTACAAATACCAGCATGCTCTGCGCCTCAAGTCGGGGCCCCTCCGCCCGGCGTCGGCGCCCTGCATGCCGGGAGTTGCAGTCCTCGCTAGGCCGGTCCCGCCTCGCCCCAGCTTGGGGGAGGAGGTTGGAGAGCCGCCCTGCCGGCCTTTGAATTTTGCCGCGAAAAGCGCGCGTGGCGGCCCCCGGCCCCGCCCCCCGCAGGATGCGGCGCCGCGTCACCCTGGTAACCGCCTCTCGGCCGCCGCTGATTGGGCAGAACCTTAGGGGACGGGCGGGGGGCGAGACGCCGCGGCCGCTGCCGGCGCCCGCGTCTGTCAGTCGGGCCGGAGCGGAGCAGC